TTTTCACTGATTTGGGTGCTTGGGTAAGTTGCGATTCACCTTGTGAAAGTTCCGTGATGTTTCCTCTTCATAGATTGCTTCAAACTTTGAGTTTTAACTGAGTTGGGGGCTTGGGTGAGTTATGATTCACCTTGGGATAATTCCGTGAAGTTTTCCCTTTATAGATTGCTTGTAACTTTGAGTTTTCACTGATTTGGGGGCTTGGGTGAGTTGCGATTCACCTTAGGATAGTTCCGTGATGTTTCCCCTTCATAAACTGCTTCAAACTTTGAGTTTTCACTGATTTGGGTGCTTGGGTAAGTTGCGATTCACCTTGGGATGGTTCCGTGATGTTTCCCGTTCGTAGATTGCTCCAAACTTTGAGTTTTGACTGATTTGGGGGTTTGGGTGAGTTGCGATTCCCCTTGGGATAGTTCCGTGATGTTCCCCCTTCATAGCTTGCTTCCATCCTTGAGTTTTCAGTGATTTGGGGGCTTGGGTAAGTTGCGATTCACCCTGGGATAGTTTCGTGATGTTTCCCCTTCATGAATTGCCTCAAATCATGACTTTTCACTGAATTGGGTGCTTGGGTAAGTTGCGATTCAACTTGAGATACCTCAGAGATGTTTCCTCCTCATAGGATGCTTCAAATCTTACCTTTATACTGTCCTTGATGAGTATGTGAGTGGCGCTTCTCTTCGGGATACTTCAGTTATGTTTCCTCTTCATATGATACTTCAAATCTTACGCTTATACTGTCCTTGATGAGTATGTGAGTGGCGCTTCACTTCGGGATACTTCGGTGATGTTTCCTCTTCATAGGATGCTTCAAATCTTACCTTTGTACTGTCCTTAATGAGTATGTGAGTGGCGCGTCACTTCGGGATACTTCGGTGATGTTTCCTCCTCATAGGATACTTCAAATCTTACCTTTATACTGTCCTTGATGAGTATGTGAGTGACGCTTCACTTCGGGATACTTCGGTGATGTTCCTCTTCATAGGATGCTTCAAATCTTACCTTTATATAGTCCTTGATGAGTATGTGAGTGGCGCTTCACTTCGGAATACTTCGGTGATGTTTCCTCCTCATAGGATGCTTCAAATCTTACCTTTATGCTGTCCTTGATGAGTATGTGAGTGGCGCTTCACTTCGGGATACNCATAGGATGCTTCAAATCTTACCTTTATGCTGTCCTTGATGAGTATGTGAGTGGCGCTTCACTTCGGGATACTTCGGTGATGTTTCCTCCTCATATGATGCTTCAAATCTTGCCTTTATGCTGTCCTTGATAAGTGTGTGTGTGGCGCTTCACGTC